GGAAAGAGGTGCTCATTTGTGTCTCCTCAGAAGATCCTTTCGGGGGTTACCCTTATCTGCCCTCACATGTAAGCAATACATCAGAGGCCAAATGAGAGAAGATGTCTCTTCCTTTCTGAGAGTGGTTAGGGTTGGAAATAAATTAATTTTCTTGAATCTTTCTCATTGCTTAAAATTAACAAAAGTTGGACATCTGGAATTTCTCTACATATGTTGCAACCCCCTCCAATATTGTCACTATCAGGCATTTTAAAATCAATGAGATGGACTCAAAATAAGCATGAAATTAAAAATGAAGAAAAGGACAATAGCAACAGAAACATTTGTTTACCTTCTCATTTCAGTGGGTTCTTACAGAGCTTCCAATTTCTAGGTTGCATGTGATCCTTTTGAGTTGAATATCCAACCTGAAGCACATGCACCTCCTTCTGACTGTCCAGTGGGAACTCCATTTTTATTCTAACTTTTTCCTCTTTTTGGAGTTCTAATGCTGTCTTCTTCTCACCCTCCCAGTCCTTCACTTCTCTAGGTAGGCACTGGACTTTTTCATTTTTCCTCCACTGCCCTTGATATTAGTGAATATAACCTCCCAGCAAACAATAAATCACTATACTGGGGGTGCATATAACAAAGGTATAGTTTAAGATTTACTCTATTATTGATGTTTTTATAAAAACAAAGCAAATCAAATTTGAGCTCTAACATTACTCTCAGATTTGGGGCTAAAATCAACAGTAGCATAATTTTCATATCTGAGATGTATGAAAATGGAGAGGGTAGAGGTGGAACCCGAACCCACACACTAGAAATTGTTTTTTCCTCTTTATGGTGTCAACATTTCATTTGTCAACAAAATTTTCTCACCCTTTTTTTGTAGCTACTCCCATTTAGATTGAAAGAAGTAGATCTTACTTCAAGACTTGGAACAGCTCATTTCTAATGAAACTTGAGACATGACTGATGATGCTGTGATTAGAGAAGTTTTATCTACCATTCAAACAGCCTCTGGCTGGGATCACAGATATAGATTGCGGCAAAATGTACACAATGTGCTGTTGCCTTAAACTACCTATTGAATCTTTACATACTCAACAGAAACTCCCATAGAATTTATCTATGGAACCCCATTCCTGTTTTATCTATACTTTGGGGACACACAAAGAATAAGAAGCATTTTCCATTTTAAGCCAATAAGCAAATAATATAATAAAATATTCTAGGCAAAAACCAAAAATACATAAATCCTACAGGGCTGTTAAACGTTCTAGAACTTGAGGGACATATAACTTGATTTACATACGCATTAATTACTAGTTAGTGCATTAATAACCACATGCATACACAAAGAACAAATCAATTTTCTAGATTTTATAATAAAAATGTATTATAGTCATAAGTTTAATAGGCATGATTTATAGAATGCTAACAAGCTAACTAAAAATCTTCAGTAGTTTCACAGTAACATTTAGAATGATCATAACTGGTACTGAAATTGTAGAATACCTATATTTTAACCCCCAACTTTAAGCTTTTTTATAAAGATGCCTCTATAACAGCAGGGAATCCTTCAAAGTATAATAATATTTGTTTAAAAAACTGAAAACATTTTAAAAACAAAAAATGATGGATCGAATTCTCATTAAACTAAACTAATGGAAAGAAATGTATCTTAGTGTAAAAGAACATACGGTTTAATCAATATAAGTCTATCCAACTTTCTGGTAAGTGGAATGTGTGTCACCATGTTCATCATAAGGCAAGTCACTTCTACAGAAGCTGCTTAGACACTCTTTTTAATCTCCTTTTTAAATTTTATGGGGAAAATATTCTTATGAATTGGATATCTCCCCCCTCAATTGTAATCCAAATAAATTACTTTGACATTATTGCCCTTTTTTCATAAAGACTTTAATTCTGAATTTCTAAATCCATACCAAAAATGCCTGATTGAAACAGATGATTGAAAACTTCCAGAGCTGCCTGAGAGTAAAGGTGGTCCATGACTTTTACACAGGGTAATTTTTGAAGATTCACTTTGTCGATACCCTCATTTTAAAACATAAAAAGTTTCAATCAGTTTCTTGTCAAGGCTTGCAACTGTCTTTATTGTTAGCACATTGTATTTTTGTATGCATCTGGAAAGATCATTTGTACATTGAAGTAGTATTAGTGTATTGACTGACATTCTGACAAACAGCATAGTTCTTTAATTGTGGTTATTATCAAAGAATAAATTAAAAAACATGCATTTAATTTACACTAAATAATAAATTATAACACCTACTTCATTTTGAAAGATGCTTAATGTTTTCTGCAAATCAACTCATGTTTCTTAATAAAACATGTTACTAATTTTCCTTAGTCTCACACTTTATGTGCCTTGTCTGAATCTATGCTAGGAAAAGAGGCATGTGTAATTCTTCACTGGTGATAATCAAGCATTAGTAATTCTTATTTTTTTATTGTAGAAGCTAATTTCTACGGTTTTCATATTAGTATTATCTTAACATTAGTTGTCAGTGTGGATAATGCAAAAGATCTTAAAACTGTTTTAGACTGACATAATTAAAATAAAAAACCCAGCCAGCTAACATCATTTTTTATGGTTTAGGTGCAGTCCATATGACTCACTCTGGTTTTAAATGTTCATACCAAAACACTTGAACTTAAAATCTTGAATGAGTAATATTATATAATGCAAAGATCTAAAACTGCAACTAATACAGTTTTAAAGCAACTAGGACAGGTTTACATTTGTTTTAATCATGTAACACTTAAATCTAGGATAATATTGCTTTGATTAATGGACTGATGACTTGCAGTATATTTTGGTTTTGTAGGTCAGTGAATTTTACAGGAGATACATATCCTGGCAAAAAGATTTTCATGATTTTTTGTTTTGTTCTGCATGTATTTGGATATTTTAAGTCTATGAATGAAATCTATAAAATATTAGATAGAACTGTATATAGCACATACCACATAAAGTAGGACATTCAATTTCAGATGTCGTCAGAAGTAATGACAGGATAGAAATTACTCAAGGCTATATTGAGTATGATTCCTTGTTACCACTTTACTGCTCTTTTAGTGGGTAGCAAGGAAGTGCCACATATGGGTTGACTAGGTCCAAAGCACAGCAATGCAGAAGCAAATGCTAATCTGTTCAACCTGCTCAGGCACTGAAGTGACAATCAAGAAGTCTGCTAATTTGTGCAGCATGAAAATGGCAAAAATATATTTGAAACACTATATACCATTTTTGCTTACTTCATTTCAGATTTGTGTCTGCCTGGTTGTTTCTCTGTTCTTCATTTTGCTTATCATTTCAATAAAAAGTTTGACAAAATGGCCATGTGTATGAAAAATCTGATTTCAAATTTCTGAATTTTGAATTGTTGATTTCTAAACCAGCCTTTGGTCACACAGGTGCCCATTATCACAGAAGAATGTTACAAAAAAAGTCAAACAGGCATTTGACAGATATTTAAGTTGAATAGGTTCATTTTTGAGTTTGTAAAAAGGAGGAAAAAAACTATTTTCCACACATCTATACTCCAGCAGCTGTGAAAAATGTATTGAAGAGGTGAACTGAAGGCTTTGGTGATGGTGCTACTGAGAGGGTTTTGGCTTCCTTGACCACAGCATGCACTTCACAGACAGATGTCTTCTGGGAAGGGATGGTATCTACCTCATGCTGAAGGGAAAGGTTCTTTTCTTGGCCAGGATGGCAGACCTCCTGGACAGGGCTTTAAAATGAGATCACCAGGGGATGGAGGGGACAACAAGTGGAGCAAGCCCAGGGTCTAACAAACAACCATTACAACAGGAGACAACAGGAAGGACACTACAGCATGAGCTGAGGGAATGAAGCTCCCTCAATGTGACAGGAAATGGAGGGCCTCCAGCAGAGGGCTCAAATGCCTGTACACAAATGCCAGGAACATGGGTAGCAAACAAAAGGAACTGGCCCTCCTCCTTTCCAGCAGGGGCTATAATATCATAGGAATAACAGAGACCTGGTGGGACTCTACTTATGATTGGATTGTAGCTATAGAGGGCTACATTCTGCATAGGAGGGATTGCATAGGGGAAAAGGGTGGAGGTCTAGCTCTATATGTAAAGGAGTAGTACACCTCCTTGGAAGCTGAAATTGAGGAAGGGCAACTTGAAATCCTCTGGGTCAAGATACAGGGGTGGGGGGGGGGGGGACACAGTGAAAGGGACCTAACTGTAGGATTATTATTATAGACCTCCAAATCAAGACGAGGTGCTAGATCTAGACTTCTCCAGATCTAGAAGATCTGGAGAACTGGAAGAGGCTGTGAGAGCATGGGATATGGTCATCATGGGAGACCTTAACTACCCAGACATCTCCTGGGAAGAGTCCTCAGCCAGATCTGACCGGTTGCATAAACTCCTTACTTGTATTGATGAGCTCTACTTGTCTCAGGAAGTATATGGGCCGACCAGAGGAAATGCATGTCTAGATTTAGTTTTGGCCAAGGGGGGTGACCTGGAGAGTGATCTGATGACAGAGGGTAACCTAGGCAACAGTGACCATGACACTATCACTTTCACTATCTGTCACAGGGCTGGGAAATCTGTCAGTCAGGTACAAATTCTTGACTTTAAAAAAAGCTGACTTCAATAAGCTAAGAGCTTTAGTGACTAATGCCCTACAGGATCATTGACCTCAGGGAAAGA